TTCTTTTCTTGGCACKCGCACTAAGATCTTGAGCAGGTCACTTTGCCAGACGGATTTCCTCACAATATAGCTTAATTCGTATTTGTTATTATTTTGAGAGTAATCCATAGAAGACAAATATCAACAATGGAACTTATTGTGATAATGTTTGGGGTTTTTTTTTAGTATTTCACTGGGCCTTCTCCAAGTCCACTGTTTTTCTGCAAAGATGTATACAAACCTAGATGTTTGTTAGGTCTTCAACTCTGATGTGCTCCATCTATGCTAGTAACACTGTCTTTGCTATTGCCTATTGAAATAGATGTGAGGGGTTGCTTATTTTGTATTTCTAATAAGAATTGTGTGTTTTTTCTCCATATTTGGTGTGTGATAAAAAAAATGTATAAATATGTTGACTGCACCCGTCTTATTATCCATTAAAATGGTATGTTGCTGATTTCTGAATTGCATATCTGAAATGACAGATTATGAAAATACTAAATTATGCACCTATTTCTTAGAACACAGCACAAAAATGAGGTAAATWATTTAAAACCTGGGCTTTATTTTTGTATGTTTTATCCATACACCAAAAAATAAAGTGCCTTCATTCTGTAATTTCAGAATAGGTAAGAAGTTCTTTTCTGCTTATCTCTTGGTTTCATTAGGGAATTACATTTATTGCCATAACATTTCAATTTGAGTATGTGATCTCATACTTCAGGTTGCAGTAATAGGCCCTGGTCACTATGTGCAATATGTTTGGTGAATATACAAATATGGTAAAATCTCCRTAAGTTTATTGATGGATTAATGTATTTTTGGTGCAATTTATTTCTATCATTGCTTTCATTAGATTGTGGCAAGCATTTTAAAGACAGCATGCTAAAAAGAAAGAAATTTAAAATATTCTGAAGTTTGTTATTTGTCCAAAAGTAAGCAAAGTAGTGGCTTGTAGTGCTCTAACTCTTCTGGCATTGAAAAAGTAAAATATTACTAATAATACAGTGAAAAAAGCAGAAGCTGAAACACAGGAAGAAGGCACCAATGTCATAGAGTGAGACAAAAAAATCAGTAACACTCAGCAAACAGTAGTAACTAAGTGGAGAATTGGAATAGTGAACAACAATCCTGCTTTTTTCTGTTCATTTCTGTTGTGTTTGGTACAACAGAACTTCTTCATATACTTTGTATATTTGCCCRTGAATAAGTGGAATTTCCTCAAAGAGGTCAGTCATTGGCATCTAATGAACTTTAGGGATTTGTACTGCCAAGAGCATGTCATTTTAAATTTGATCTTGTTATGTAGGTATTCTAATACTCTGGTGCAAGATTCTTGTATATAAATGTGACAATACACAAAAGAAACTGTCACTTGACTAAGCAGGACTCAGTTAAACTGATATAGATTATCCCAGAGGAATATTCAAATGTCAAATTGCTTTAGTAAGAAGAAATTCACAGAATCTATTAATGCAGAAGTAAGTATGATAGACTCTGTTTTTTGTTAGGTGTCTCCAAAGAAACAAAAAATATGAACAGCTAGTAACTATATTTAACTTTTAAAAGCTGAGTCAATAAATTTTTTTACGGCAGTCCAGCCTGTTGATTAGATCCAGGGTAGCTTTTTATCATTTTATTATCCTGGATATGTGGATCACCTCTAATGTAAATATCATTAAAATGAACTGTTGTACAATGTGAAATAACTCTGCTTAAGTAGATAAAGCTGTACACACTTCTATCAGTAGCCTGCTGCTGGAAGTCATTTAACATCTCTCAGCTATGCAAACATCCATAGCATTATGTGTGAGAATCTCATATGCAATGCTTTCATTTGCAGAATACACTTTAAAAAGGGAAGCTACATAGCATCTGATAAACAGGGACATCATAAATTATGTTAACTRCTTAGCCAGATTTCCTTGCAAAAACACCATGCAATTCTTAAGTCAGTCTATAAAAAAATATACACTTTTGTAAAGGAGGCTGCCTTTAAAAATATTAACATGAAGAATTTTTTAGTAATAAAGCTGAGTTTGACTTGTTTTTTATTTCTGCTTTGTTCTGTTTCAGTAACAAAATATTCATGTGGGAGTGACASATTATTGCTGCTTCATATGCTAGAAAAATTTTAAAAATTCCCGAAGGTAAGTTTACTCAGACATCATGATTTTGATAGGGTTGGTCAGGATGGGTTTCGGGCTTGTTTTGTTTATTTAATTGCTTTTACCCCTCAGAAAAAAGAAGTATGGCATCTACGTTATGAAACCAAGCATCATATTCCATTTCAAAGTATTTTCAATTTATTACTGTTACAATTTAGCATATCTGAAAGACTGTGTGWACATCCAGGTGTTACTGGCCACAGTAAGGTCTATGACATTGTAAGGCCCCAGGTCTCACTCAATGGGTTTCTTAAAAGGATTGAAGATTCTTTTATGTACCCTGAGTCAGATAGGAGAGAAAATATCAGCAAGATATTTTGACCTCAAGAGGTCAAAACAAGAGAAACTTCACTGACAAACTGAAGAAAATCAGGGAATTTTGGCAAAAATTTAAAGCAACATTCAATCAACATAAAGCATTTCACAAAGCAACAGCTTTGTAAACTCCAGACCACCCAATTTTGGGTTACTCAGACTTCAAGAAGAGGCAGTTAGGAGAAGAAGAAAGCAAAAGGGAGAAGAGATACAGAAAAAAACAAATATAGCTACTAATCCTGGTTCCATCACTGTTGCAGCTGATCAAAACCCAGGGAAGATAGGGTCAAGACAGTATGCTTGCCTTGTGCTCTGGCTTAAGTACATTTTGGTTTTTCAGGGCCCTTCCYCTAGGTGGGACTTCTGGTCTGGTGGCCCCTCAGGAGCTGGGTTAGGGACTCCAGGAACAGGTGTGSAGCATTGCCTCCAGTGTGCCAGGGATTGGCACCTCCTGCCAGGGYTGGGATACACACCCCAGGGATGGGGTGTGTGGAGAAGAGTGTTGCTTTGCCAGGGCAAAACTTGATCTGCCCCTTTCCCCACAAACGAGCCTAAAATGTTTTCAGCCAGTCACCTCCTTCAGTCTCCTACAAATGTTTGCCAGTTTTCCGTATTGAATGTATCCAACAGGTATCCAAAAAGACCTTTCTCCCTTTTGTGATTATGTGACTTCTATTTGCATATTCTTTGGAAGTCTTCTATTTAGTGTGTTTATTCTAACAAAACCATTCTGATGATGTGTAGCATATAGACTTCTTGAATAATACAAATCTCTGACTTGACACTGTGTATAATTCTTTAACTATGGTTTAAACTGAACCATAGTAACATATTTTAACCATCTAGTCTTTGTTTAAAGCCCTGAAGTGATGGGCACTCTACTTATAACCCTCAATAAATTGCTTATTTTATTTTATTTTATTTTATTTTATTTTATTTATTTATTTTCAATAAATCCAACTTTAAAATGCCATGCCTTTTTTCCACTTTCTGAATTCAGAGCCCACCCACTGAGTAACTATTGGTTCAGAGTCACACTATGAACAGGTATGTCCCTCCTTAAAAAAGAAAAAAAGCCATCAGTCATAGTGAGATTCTCAGTAAAAATTATTTGCTGAATGATTTTGAATTTTTGATTGATTCTTAGTGTAGGTTTCTCAGGAGTAACGTATTGTAATTAATACACATTTGAAATTCAGAATATGAATTTAATTAGTCGATACAATGTAATGAATAAAGAGAAATACTGCCAGGTAACTAGATTCCAAATAATAGTTCTGAGGAAGCTTGCATCAATATTAGTCTTCAACAGGAAGAACCTGAAGGGTTTTTTAGCATATTTCTTTTCTACAAGACCCTGAGATCAGCTCAGATTAGGTCTAAGTGTGGGTGCTTATAATGCCATGGTTGCGGGTTTGATCCCCTACAGGCCATTCACTTAAGAGCTGGACTCCATGATCCTTGTGGGTCCCTTTCAACTCAGAATATTCTGTGATTCTTAGAAAAGATGGAGAGAGACTATTTACAAGGACACTATTTACAGTGACAGGGCAAGGGGAAGGACTTTCAAGTGAGAGAGGGTTGTTTTAGATTAKATAGTGAAAGAAATTCTTTACTGTGAGGGGTGCTGGAACAGGTTTTCAGAGAAATTGTGGATGCCCCATCCCTGGAAGTGTTTGAGGACAGGTAGGATGCTTTTGAGCAACCAGGTCTAGTGGACCTGGTGACCTTTAAAGTCCCTTCCAACCCAGGCCTTTCTATGGTTATGTATTTATATTGTGGAATGTAAAACTCATTCTATTGCTATTGTTCAATATTTCCTTAAGATTTCTTTTCTTCCAGCACATTCCTTTAAGCATACTCATTTACTGAACTTCTTGGGAAGAGCCAGCATAGAAACAAATTGCATTTTAGAACACCCTGACATATTTGTCTTGCTCTAAAAAGCTTGCATAAAAAGTTATTTTGTGTAACAAGGTCACTGAGATGCTGTGCCTCTGAGAGCCTTAACTAAATAATACTGACATCCAACAAGATTTTTTTGTCTTTTTTT